TGATATTCCGTTACAGTACAGAATTAATTTAACCTACCGTCTGCACAGGACTTTAAATAGTAAATATATGTATCTGCTATTGCGTTTTGCTTTTATGCCGTCTATATGCAACGTCGATTACTGTTCACTCGTCGTTTCTCATTATTGACACTACATGTTTCGGGCTAACCAGCCGTCTTGAGGTGTACAGGTTTTTGTGGTAAGGACTCTGTTGCTCACTGTAATGCTGTTTTGTTTCTCTTCTTTAGTTGCCTCGGATTGACCTCTGTGGTCTAGTGGTCAGATTTCTTGACTACAGATCCAGAGGCCCGTGTTCCATTCCCGGCGCTACCAGATTTTATAAGTAGTAGTGGATCTGGAACAGGGTCTACTCAGCCTCGTGAGGATAATTGAGGAGATATTTCAAGGAAATAGCAGCTCCGGTATAGTAACCCGAAATTAACGGCCGTGAGTATTCGATGCGCTGACCACGCAACACACTATCTGCTAAAGTTTTGCACTAACTTGGCCGACAAGCGGCGGTCGCTCGGTCGGTATAGTTTGCTTGCGGACTGAGACCACGAAGTTTGTTTTTGTTTAGTTGCCTCGGATTACTTCTTGTTACGTTGGCTAACCATGCACGCATTTATACAGTATTACTTCATAATGTCCCGACGTCGTCATGACTGCACACCTTGGTTCATATACATCCGTATGGCTCCAGTCTGTAGTTTAAGCAGACCGCCTTTTCTGTACTGCTTTTATATTCAGCTTCCAGCGGGACAGTACTGCTACGTTTGTTCATGAATCGGCAGTTATGTACTCAGTGTATTTTCTCCATTTCTCCTTACTGCTGTTTGTTATTGTTTATATAAAATAAGTATTTATTTTTGTGGAATGTGGGGGTTGTATTTTTGGTCTCTTCGAATGAATATACAGCGTCGTCTCGAAGACATTTCATTTACATTTCGAGCATCCTTACCTCGTGTTCTTTCGTGTTTTCTTCACCTGTATTTCAAATCCTAACATACGAGAAGGCCAATTTTTCTGATGTGTAATTATGGCCAGTTTGGGATTTTGTGCTTGTCTTCCTCCATGACTCCTCAAAACATTTCAGAAACTGATTTCTGTTAAAAACACCCATATCACAATAGGTTATTATACCACTTTATAAGCTACTGCTGGTGACAGATTTCACAATTCGTTAGAATGTCACTCTGTTTCGTACAGCCGGTATTCACTGAGAACTCATTTTAACTCGGGTTTCTTCTTGTTAAAATTCCGGGACATACTAATTCTATGTCACATAAATAAACCGTCGAACTGTTTCAAAAAATTTCTACAGAATTAGTTTCTCTTACAACATTTAACTTTGAACTTATTAAGCATGTTTATTTCTTTTCGTGCTCCTTAAGGCGACCTTATGAGGCCGGGAACCTGCTTTCGAGGTCAGAAGTATACTTTTTCCTTGAAATGTTTATTTTATGCACACACACACAAACACACTAAACTTCCAGTATATCTTTATATAGGAGTATTACCCGCTGCACATTGGCAGTAATGGATACGTAAATTTGTAGTCTCAGCGACAACAGAGTAAGAAGTAAATAGAGAAGAAGCTCATCAAGAAAAGGCTGCTAATTAATAGATTTCAACTTAGGCCATAGTTACACTCTCAACCCAAAGTTTCATTTCTCGAGACATTTATAAACTTTCACTTGTTACAGCGTTAAAAAATCTATGTTTGTGTCATCTTCATTTTAGACACAGAAGAACACCAACACAGAATAAACGCGTACTCACACCAAACATCCATGCTTTGTGTGGTATTGCCCTCGATCCCGGCTTCCGAGCGAGCGAAGGCAGTGCATGATGCCTTAACCGCTCGGCTATCGTGGCCGGCAAGAAAATGTGTAGGGTTTATTAAACTTCTTTCCTTTCTGGAATTATTCTAAAATTCTTGTCTGAATGTAATCCTGAGCCGACGTAAAGCATTTGGCGGATCTGTCTGTATATACTCACCTCGGCAATGCAACTTCTACAAAAATTTCTGAGAAATGTGAAATTTAAGAGCAAAAAATATTGTTATTGTATTTAGAAAGGAGCAGGTCACTGTAGCCGAGCGGTCTAAGGCATGCACTGTCTTCGCTCGCTCGGAAGCCGGGATCGTGGGTTCGAATCTCACTCAGGGCATGGATGTATACTTTGTGTGTGTGCGTTTTTCTGTGTTTGTGTACATATAGAGGCCTTGCGACGAGCTGATCACCCGCCCAAGGAGTCCTACCGAATGTGTAACATCTAGAAAAACCGAAGTGAAACGGAGAGTTTCATGGAGGTAGGCCTAGGCCCAAATTGGGGCTGTAGCGCCGAATTTTAACTACTCGCTTCCGTTTCGGTTGACGTATTCACGAGTTTGATTTCGATAAGGAGACAGTTGATGTAAATAATACAGTGCTTAGGCCTTATGTGGTGGAACTTAAGCAGGTCTACACCTTGTTATTTACTGGAGAGAAAATGGTAACTTCAACCTGTTTCCATTACAGGTACAGAAGCGTGTGTAGATCTGTGGGAAAGAACATTTCAGTATACTGCAGCCTCGCACAATTTCTCTTTTGTCTTTCTTCCGTCAAATTACACTTTGTTTCTACTTTATTATTTTAATAAATGCTTTTCTTTTCGTTACGTTTTGTCTGTACAGAACGGGCTCTAAGTAACGTAGGGTATGAGATTTCAGCTAACCAGCGACTCCGTCCCTGCAGGCTACAAGTTCGAACCGGAATGAGAATGAAAGGCAAAATCTTTTTCTGTGAGAACCAATTTGCAATGGAAATTGTATCATATCGACGACGACCGCTACAGCGTTGATGCCGCCTCCACTTTTGTGAACAGATGAGATATGTATGACCCTCCCCTCCCCGTGCCTCCATTGCTCGTCTCTCGTCACTCATCACAACTCACTCACGTACCCACATACTCACACACTACTGTACATATAACAGACGCATGCATGCAGTACAATTTCGAAAAGCTCCCAACCCCCACTTTTCGAAATTTATGTAAATTCGGTTTTCGTTTTCCATCAGACCCCACAGATAGAAGAGCTAACGTTGTTTTGATGAATATAGTAGTTGGCGCTAGCGTAGGAATGCCACGTTGCTCTGTGCCTCATAAAGTGATATGCATACATTTCGGCAGTTGCGCTATGCATGTAAACCAACTGCTCCTCGTTTTAGTACACTTTAAAATATCTAAGAATAATATAAATCTGATTATCAGTAAGTGTGCCATCTTTAATTTTTTATCACATATGTGAGAATATTTTAACAAACAAACAAACTCCGTAGCCGCAAGCGAACTATACCGACCGAGCGAGCGCCGCTTGCCGACCAAGTTAGTGCCAACTTTAGCGGATAGAGGGTGTCGCATGGTCAGCGCAACGAATCCCCACGGCCGTTAACTTCGGTTTTCTAGACCGGAGCCGCTATTTCCTTGAAGTAGCTCCTCAATTATCCTCACGAGGCTGAGTGGACCCCGTTTCAGACCCATTGCTTCTCTGAAAATCTGGTAGAATCGAACCCGGACCTCTGGATCTGTAGCCAGGAACTCTGACCACAAAGGCGGTCCAAAATTAAAGTTATATTTCTATCAAGTATGTTTGAGTGGCTTCGGTAACTCGAGTAGCTGCAGAGTTCTCTTCTGCAGAAAATCGCTCAGATGGTATATAAACTCCCGGCCGTTATGCAGCCCGAAGAAACTTTAGACCTCATTCTGAGAACGTTTCATCTATCCCATGCTGTAAACAAGAGCAGTATTTTGCTGTCCCCGTGTTTGGCTAAGGCATCAGAAATTCTAAGGTGATCATAACTAACTACACTCAAACGCTGGAACAATACCTTACGGCCGTTAAGTTCCACATCCTCTCCATTTCATCTAGGTTGTGTAATAAACCCTTTAAGGGCCATTGGTTGCTATACGTACCACCATTAGCACACTAAAACTTTGATCTCTGCCCACAGAGTATATTTGTTGACTACTGTATAGATAAAAACATTCCGCGCCACGTTTTTTGTGTTCATGTAAATGGAAAGGGGACCTGTTCTCGTATGACTCAAACATCTTTGAGGGTACATCATCACACACTGACCTATATCATCACGTCGTTGGGAATCTTTTAGATTCTATTTGCAACAAATGACGGAATCGCATTACTGCAGATGTTGAACACACAGGATTTTTGTTCCTTACTATTGCGTACCCGTGGTGTGACGTAACGTCAAAGAAGTTTCAGACAGAGTATATGTCAGTTGCAGTAGATACACGTATTTCTCATGACCATGACGCATTTAAGGGCATCAGAAGTGATCCCTGTATGCAGTGACCTGCAAACCTCAGTGGGAGTTTGCGAGAAATATCCTGCTAAAGTGCTGTTATTGTTGCTGCTGCTGCTTATTCGTCTGGATACTGTTGTGTCACTGCAGAATGCAACAGTGAACCCTTCTACAAACGGTAACATCTCTCAGATTAAATAAAACCCGGGGAATTTCTTGTTGAGGTTAGAGACTATCAGCATCTCAGGATTGTTCAGTGGACACGGTTGTTGCTGCTACTGTTATCATCATTATTAATAACAACAATAATGGGAGCACCTAAATGAATAAAGAATGAAACTGAATTACATATATATTTGAAACTTATATTGTTTCTCGGTTTTTATATTAGCCATTGTTTTTCATTGTAGATGCATATATTTTACTTTTCTTACTTCTTAATAATTACTTCAAATTTGCGTTAATGGATTTATCATCATTATAATCATCGTATTTTGTATATGTTTTGTTTCTTTTTTAACACGTGCTCTCTTTGTAATTATCCTTTGTGGTGTTAAATTGGCACGTAAATAAATAAGAATTGGACTGAATCATTAGGGCAGTAACACGAATCTAGGTAATAACTCGAAAATTCAATAACAGATTCTGTAATATAAGTAAATATTATAAGTAACAGTTCATTTTATTTTTCAGTTGTTTTGCTGGATACGACTCAAGAGCCCACTCTGGAATGGACCCGCTATCCTTACGGACCGCAAGCCAACACACCGGGGGTGAGTGAACAGAGGCTATTCTCATACATATTTAGTTGTGACGCCGGAGAAAGTAACCGTTCTCTCTCCGCTGGGGTCGTGTTGAAATTGTCCTTGTCATGAGAAAACGAGATCAATTAACGGGGAGTGAAGTAACCGAAGTCAGGCAGTGGGACGCAAGGAACAAGGGTCTGTGACAGCTGAGAAAGCGCTCACAGTTGGTGTATCCTAGGTTCAAACATTTTCAGAAAAACAGTTCCACACACTTGCACACACAAACATGGTACAGATTAGAACTAAATGGGAATTTTGGGGGATAATACCCGATGTGCGGTTTTAGGTTTTTGCATATTTCCATAGACTGATGAAAGCCCGATGCCTGATTCATTTTGCTTTTAACGCCGGTGTCCATTACGCCATCATATTTCGGCCTGAAATAAGTTATCACATGTCCCAAAAGCTTTGTAAAGGAATTTGTTTGGTTTCAGATTCGTAGCACGAAATCGCTGCAGCTCCAAGTTATGGAAATATAAATCCGAGGGACATGTAAATAATTTGCTTTGTATTTGCTATGTCATTTTCGAAAAGAAGTGCGAAATAGACTGCGTTTTAATACATGAAAATCTAACTTCTTTTCATTACAGTTCGAGATATGGTGTTATATTCCGTTATATACTCGTACAACATCAGTTTTTATGAAACCGCGCCCTATTGTAGGGGTACTGTATTCAAATGATGAAGAAGTCAAGCAAAATTACTATTCGGCATTCTCGTGGGAGGGGGTACGCGGTAGCGTAGTTGGTTGAAGCACCGTGCTACAGGCTGGAAGGTCACGGTTCCGAGTCCCGATGAGGTGGACTTTTCAATTTGCCTAATTCTTCCAGCCGCACTATGTCCCTAGGGTTGACTAAGCCTCCAACAGAAATGAGTACCGGGAATCTTCCTGGGGGATAAAAGGCTGCCGGCGCGTAAGACTGACAACCTCACTGCCATCTGTGAGCCGAATGTCTAGAGAAAATGTGGGAGCCTCGACGTCTCACAACCCTATGGGCCTTCATGGTCTGTTAAGAAGGATAGCTTTACCTCTACCTTTACCAGTCTCGTGCGAGATTGTAGTAATCTGCAAGAATGTTAGTTACTGCTGCATGACAGAGAGATGACACCGAGATCAGCGTTGTTGGCTGATGTGTGTTTTTTATTTATTTTTTTAGCTTTCTTGTCTGCGTTAGAGAGCGTGTCTGGTATCATACATATGGGCGCTCCTAGTGGAAATGGTTTGTAGTAGCAGAAAACCCATGTGGTGGTGTAACAACAACAACAACCACAACCACCACGACGACGACGACAACGACAGAAACAGAATCATGAGTAGGTCATTATGAATATCGCATATGGATGCAGCATAATTTTGTGAATTCTGATATCTCTGAAAAAATGTCGTACAAATGTGAAACTTTTATATCGCATGCTTGGTTCCACTGTAGGTAGAACTCTGAATTAAATGTCGCAATAGCGCTGACAGATGAACTCTTTAATTATGCAGAGAGTGATTGCAAATTATTACTTTTTCACATTACTGTCACGGTTTCATTGGCTCATTGGTTGTTTAAGCAAAGTGCTTTAACCCATACGAATGAGATGGAAGTAAGAAAGAAATGGTTACAAGGAAGAAGAAAAAAGAGAGAAAGGAAGAAAGAAGGAAAGAAAGAAATAAAGAAAAGGGAAGATGTAGCATTGTACATGTGCCGACTTAATGTGCCACGGCGAATGTGGTATAATTTTGTAGTGCCGTTGCTGCATGAACGGTGTCACATTTGCGCGATATAATTTTACACGCATAACTTGATGGTTATCTGGAAAATTGCTTTCCACTATCAGATAATCACGGACCATTATTTCTCGGAATGGATATATTAAAATTAAATCATTATGAGGTTCGTTTTGACCTCCTTCACGACCGGTATTATCTTCAGGACAATACATTCATTGCGCAATTTTGGTTTCGGTACCAAAGCTATTGCTGTGTATAGAAGTTACGGCTCTTTATCCGTGAAGGCCATTTTTCATAACAGCCTACATTTTAATTTGAACACACGGTTCTCATGTGGAGACACAGAGAGCTATGTGCCAATTCAGACCCATTTCGCTATTGTACGTTAACTCTGTGCAGTCTCGTGAAGGTTGTGTACGGTGGGTGATGTTGCCTGGTTGTAGATACAATACCACGATCCACAAGGAGAGACAGTAAAGTCAAGTCATGTTAAACCGCAGTCAGAATAACCCGTAAACTGGCGGAATTTAACGGATTTCCTCTCGAAGACAAATACAAAGCGAGAACTTGCACCACCCTGCACCCATCAACATGCATTTTCATTCGTAGATTATCAGCGGCATCAAATGTTACTTCCCATCGGACGAAATTAAGATTATAAGTATGTTGAACCAGAGATGATGAAGCAGGAAGTTGACGGGGCATGTTGCAAGGTACTGTATCGAAATTCGTTTGGAATGGCAGAGGGATTCATACTGGAAGTAGGCTGCTAGAAGTCAGGGCTGTAGCTTAGTGTACCATTAGTCAGAAGCGGCTGCAGTAGCTTTACTCACCCATAATACGAACGGAACAAGGGTGATGTTTGGTGTGAGCTACAGAGAGTGGCATGAATTATGTGCAGACCAACTCAGTTCTGTGAAAGGCTGAGATAATCGTTAACTCTTCACAGTAATAGTGATTTTGGCGTAGAATATGGAACGAATTGCTGGAATACGGGATGATGACCTTTCGACTTTCTCTGATAATTTTTTCATGATTGATTGGATTGGGACGTATGGTCTTACACGCAGAGTTCTAGAAATTTGACCCGAAATATATACTTCTGTGGGAACTGTTACAATAATTGTGTGTGTGATTTCTGTTTTCGTAACTAATTCATGCAGCTCGGATTTGTATGCGGGAGGAAGCAGTGGCCGTTCATTTTTTAAGAGTATGGTTCCTATTGTAAAAAGAACAATGCAGCTATCGAGTGTAACGAACGTATTCTGAAATTCTCAATCAGTAAAGTCGCCTTACATATTACCTTTCTAAAGTACCATCTTTGGAGGTTAGTGCAATGGAATGGGATCGCCTACGTACATTTAACATTCAACACTTGTAATATATATGTCTGAGTACAATAAAGGCTGTGATGTTTTGTAGTTAGGAGCCGAGGTAGCGCAGTCGGTGTAGCAATTGGCTACGGGCTGGCCGGCGGAGGTTCGGAGTTCGGTTCCCGGTAGGTTCAAGAATTTTCTCTTCTCCAAGTAGTCCAGACCAGCTCTGGGATTTACCCAACCTATCCAGTTGGTACCCGGGGGTAAAGCGGCCGGGGTGTGAAACTGACTACTCACCTCCACCTAGTGCCAAGGTCAAGAAAATGTGGATCTATACATCTGCTCCCTTATACGCCTTCATGGCGTAATGCTTAATGCGTTAAGCAGAGGGACAGATTTTTATAAAAATTAGAGTTGCAGTGTTGCCAGGGATGTTATTAGGCTGCTTTTACGTTTGGTTCCTATGATGCGTTGGGAGTGCTTTATTGGCAGTTTCAGATCCTATGATACTGTCTGTACTGTTGGATATAGGCGATATGCTGCTGGTTCCGTGAAAGGTCTGAAGAGAATTTCGTGTATCTCATGTAGCGTTACTTTTCACCGGCTGAGATACGAACTGGAGATTTTCCCGGAAAATGGTCATGTGTATCCCTTGTTATGTAGGTAACAGTAAAATATCAAGGCGCTCAAATGACGTTGTTTAAATTCGGCTTGTTGTGGAACGGTAGACTTACCTGTTAGTGCCGTATGTTTCAAATTACTGGCGTCTGTCTGCTATGTCTCGAACGGGTGTGTGATTCTCCAGTGTACGAGAGCCGGTACTAATTAATCTCCGATATATTTGATGAGGAATCTTGTCTGGACCGAAGATTACCAAATATTATTACGACAATATTGAAATCTGGCGTTCCGTGCCATAAAATGAACCTCAGATAAGAAAGCTCTACAAGCACAGAGAATCGTGGTTTGGCTAGCTTGCTGTGGGTGAGAAATGCGAGGGTGTGCAAGTGACACGTTCCAGAAAAGCGGTCGCCAAACATGTTGATCCGGGATCATGGATGTTTAGTTTGTGTGTGTGCGTTTTTCTGTGTTTGTGTACAGGTAGAGGCCTTGCGACGAGCTGATCACCCGCCCAAGGAGTCCTACCGAATGTGTAAGATCTAGAAAAACCGAAGTGAACGGAGAAGTTCATGGAGGTAGGCCTAGGTCCACTGGGGCTGTAGTGCCAAAGGAAAATAAAAACATGTTGATGGAATGAGGTCAATAAACAACGAACAAAATGGGCATACAAAAGTAAAATCAGACATTTTTTATCCTAATAATTGTTTAAAATATGACAGTTCGATTGAACCGCGTAGACCTGTGTAAAGCAAATACAGAAGTACAGAGATGATTCATCACATACGGTAATAGGCTTATGAGAAGTACAGAAGGGGAAAGTGAAAACGTATTAAATATCCTGGTGATTTTCGATCCGAAGGCGGTCGAGAAGTAATCCGCGAAGCTTATACAAAAATATTGTTTTAGTTGGTTATTTAATCATAGGATGATAAATGAATATGGAGCAGTTGGTGAGTGTAACCGAAATACTCAGAGAAAATCCGTCCAAGTTCTACTTTGTTAACTTAATTCCACATTATCGAACCTGGGCCTCCACGGCGGAAGTTACACCGTTATGCAATGGTAAGGTTAACAACAGTTGGGATAAGTGTCCTGTTTTGTTAATGTTAATGAATATCCAGGTCTGAATGAAATAAATCACAGAAAAAACAAGTTTGTGCCAGATGTCACTGTTGCAGTCAATTGCTTTGCAGGAAATGGATGAATAACCGCCAGAGGACTGAAGTTTGTGGAGTCGTGGAACCAAGCCTTTCGAAACTACAGCCCTCTGACCCACAGTTCTTGTACAGCAAACTTCTCTTTTAGTAGTTAGG